TCCTTTTTGGAAACAGGAAAATCCTCCCACCGAAAGCCCTTCTCTGCTGTGATTGGCCGGCCTCTCAGCCAAGCGGAGGGTTGTTTCTGAGACTCCAAGTGACGGAGAGCAGGTGTGCTCCTCACATGGCATACTGGTGCGCATGTGCAGATGAGGGAGAGCGTGCAAGGCTGGAAGGAGGCTCATGCATCCAAGTCCCTTCAAGGCAAAGGGGATCTGTGTGGAAAGTTTGGCCTGATTCTATCATTGGTGGGGTTCAGAATGCTCTTTGGTTGTAAATACCAGCAACTACAACTCCCAAATGTCAAGGTCTATTTTCCCCAAACTCCACCAGTGTTTGTATTTGGGCATATTGAGTATTCGTACCAAATTTGGTCCAGATCCAACATGAAAGGAACATGAAAGGCACTGCAGAGTACGTCAACCAGAGAAGTCAGCCATAGCAGAGCACCTGATGAACCAACCTGGACACAGCATATTATTTGAGAACACAGAAATGCTGGACCACTCCAACAACCACCATGTCAGACTACACAGAGAAGCCATCGAAATCCACAAGCATGTGAACAATTTCAACAGAAAGGAGGAAACCATGAAAATGAACAAAATCTGGCTACCAGTATTAAAAACTCTAAAATTAAAACTGCAAAACAGCAGAGGGAAAACAATCAGGGACATCTAATCACCTCTCAACAAAAGATTGCTCCAGGCACTGCCAGGCTATCAAATGCTAATCAAGGTGGTCAGTTGAAACATTCACACCTAGCTCCAGCAGACAAGAGTCCTTTGTCCCACCCTGGTCTTTCCACAGATATATAAACCCATTTTCCTAGTTCCAACAGACCTCACTACCTCTGAGGATGCTTGCCAAAGATGCAGGCAAAACGTCAGGAGGGAATGCCTCTAGAACATGGCCACATAGCCCCAAAAAACCTACAACAACCCAGATCCAACATTGTTTGAGTCCACAATGCTCTCTGGATGTAGGTGAACTACAACCCCAAAACTGAATATCAATGCCCACCAAGCCCTTCCAGTGTTTTCTGTTGGTCATGGGAGTTCAGGGTGCCAAGTTTGGTTCAATTCCATCATTGCTGGAGTTCAGAATGCTCTTTGATTGTAGGTGAACTATAAATCCCAGCAACTACAACTCCCAAATGACAAAAGCAACCCCCCTCCCAACCCCACCAGTTATTCAAACGTGGGCGTATCTGGTATTTGTGCCAAATTTGGTCCAGTGAATGAAAATACATCCTGCGTATCAGATATTTACATTACATAACAGTAGCAAAATTACACTTATGAAGTAGCAATGAAAATAATGTTATGGTTGGGTGTTACCACAACATGAGAAAATGTATTAAGGGGTGGCAGCATTAGGAAAGTTAAGAACCACTGGCCTAAATTCTGGAATTCTTTGCACACCTCCTCCAGGTGCTGGGTAGCTCTTTCCCGCCAATTCCCTCATTGTACTTCTGGTGCTTGAGGAAAGTTGCTTTTAGCATTCTGATTGCGCGGTTTCTTCTAAATGGAGAAGAAGTTCCTGGAGTTCTTTGCACGCCTTCTCCGGGTCCTGAGTGTCTCCTTCCCGCCAATACCCTCCACGGGTCCATGAGGCGCAGTGCTCTTGTCACTCTCTCCGTCTCTCCTTCGTGGAAGCCAAACCTCAGGTGTGCCTGACTTCAGACCCGCTCTACCAGGCGTGGCCCGCCCTTCTTCCTCCTCACTCGCCCCTCTTTCATTCCCACGTCCCATTCGATACCTGTGTCCAATAGTTCAATAATTAATGCAGCCTGTGGCATCTTTTCAACCACAATGGCTCAATGCTAGGGAATCATGGAAATTGGAGCTTGGTGAGGCTAAAGACCTTCTCTGCCAAAGAGTTCTGGACACTGCCATTCAAGGAGGATATTGGCAAACTGGAAGGCGTTTCCTCAGCAACTTGAGCACAAAACTGGTCAAAGATCTCGAAACCAAGCCCCGTGAAGAGCGGCTGGGGGAGCTGGGGCTGTTTAGCTTGGAGAAGAAAAGGCTAAGAGGGAGACATGATCGTTATGTTCATATATATTTGAAAGGGTGTCACACTGAGGCGCAAACAAGCTTGTTCTCTGCGGCTTTGGGGACTAAGGAAGTGGAGCAGTGACTTCAGATATGAAGGAAAGAGATTCAATGTGTTGTCGAAGGCTTCCACGACAGGAATCCCTCTCTTGCTGTAGTTTTCCGGGCTGTATGGCCATGTTCCAGAAGCATTATCTCCCGAGAAAAACGCTTCTCTCAGGAGATGTTGATAAGCTGGAATGTGTCCAGAGAAGGGCGACTAAAATGATCAAGGGTCTGGAGAACAAGCCCTATGAGGAGCGGCTTAAGGAGCTGGGCATGTTTAGCCTGGAGAAGAGAAGGCTGAGAGGAGATATGATAGCCATGTATAAATATGTGAGAGGAAGCCACAGGGCCGTAGCCAGAAAAAAATTTCGGGGAGGGTTGACAATTTGGGGGGGGGGGGTTTGAAAATTTCGGGGAGGGTTGAAAATTTCGGGGGGGGGGGGGTGAAACCTGCCTCCTAGCTCACGCTGAAGCAAAGAGCACAGCAGGGGGCAGAGCAACCTTCAATAGCCTGCAGCTCCACCCCTGTCAATCACCTCCACCAAGTCTGGCCTCCTTAATGAGAGCATTCAACACACACTCACCCAACTTGGTTGCTTCACTACAGGTATTGCTGCAAGTAATGACAGTGTGAATAAATTGTCAATATTTGCTTGAGATAGTGCTTATAATTCTGGAGGGACTCTTAATTTTTTGCATCTCATAGACTTAGCATGGGGATTTGGTTAACCAGTTAAAATTCATGAGTAAACCAGGTTTTTTAAAAAAATCTGAAACATTTCGGGGGGGGGTTGAACCCCTAAAACCACCCCCTCGCTACAGGCCTGGGTAGGAGGGAGCAAGCTTGTTTTCTGCTGCCCTGGAGACTAGGACGCGGAACAATGGCTTCAAACTACAAGAAAGGAGATTCCATCTGAACTGACAGTGAGAGCTGTTCAGCAGTGGAACTCTCTGCTCCGGAGTGTGGTGAAGGCTCCTTCTTTGGAGGTTTTTAAGCAGAGGCTGGATGGCCATCTGTTGGGGTGCTTTGAATGCAACTTTCCCACTTCTTAGCAGGGGGTTGGACTGGATGGCCCATGAGGTGTCTTCCAACTCTATGATTCTATGGTGTTTCACCCAAATCTATGTCAGGCATCCTCAGAGGTTGGGAGGTCTGTTGGAAAGTAGGCATGTAGGGATTATATATATCTGTGGAATAATGTAAGCCACCTGGAGTCTCCTTCAGGCTGAGAAAGGTGGGATAGAAATACTGTAAATAAATACTGTAAATAAATAAATGTCCAAGGTGGAAGAAAGAACTCTTGTCTGTTTGAAGTAGGTGTGAATGTTGCAACTGACCACCTTGATTTACATTGAATGGTTTTGCAGCTTCTCTATTCATTCTCTTTGGCTGCTTCTTCTTTCTCTCCTCCTCCTACTCCTCTTCTGTGATTCTATAACCTGCCAGGATTCCTTAGCATTGAGCCATGGCAGTTTCAAAGTGATGTGAAACTGCACTCAATCTGTATAGTCAGTGGATGCACCCAACTGTCCCATCCTGGTCTGGCTTCTCCACTCATTCTCTTTGGCTGCTTCTTGGCTGTTTCTTCTTTTTCTCCTCCTCCTCTTCTATAACTCTATAACCTGCTAGGATTCCATAGCATTGAGGCATAGTAGTTTCAAAGTGATGTCAAAGTACACGTATTCTGCATAGTGCATACAACCAAGTGGCTTCTGCACTCATTCTCTTGGCTGCTGCTTCTTTTTCTCCTCCTTCTCCTCCTCTTAACCTGCCAGGATACCATAGCATTGAGCCATGACAGTTTCAAAAGTGATGTCAAACTAAAATTATTCTGTATAGTGGATGTACCCCAAGTGGCTCATCCTCCCTTGGCTTCTCCACTCATTCTCTTTGGCTGCTGCTGCTCCTCCTCCTCCTCCTCTACTATGATTCTTAACCTGCCAGGATACCATAGCATTGAGCCATGGCAGTTTCAAAGTGATGTCACCCCAAGTGGCCTGGCTTCTCCACTCATTCTCTGGCTGCTTCTTCTTCTTTTTCTCCTCCACCTCCTGCTCCTACTCCTCCTCCTCTTCTACCCCCTCTTTTCATCCCTTCCTCTCCCTTCTCTTGTCCTCCTCTCTCCCTCTACTTCCTCCTCCTTCTTCCTCCTCTTTCATCCCTTCCTCCTTCTTCTCTTGTCCTCATCTCTCCCTCTTCTTCCTCCTCCTCCTCTTCTTCTTCCTCCTCTTTTCATCTCTTCCTCCCCCTTCTCTTGTCCTCTTCTCTCCCTCTTCTTCCTCCTCCTCTTCTTCTACCTCCTCTTACATCCCTTCCTCCCCCTTCTCTTGTCCTCCTCTCCCTCTTCTTCTTCCTCCTCCTCTTCTCTTTCATTCCTTCCTCCTTCTCGTGTCCTCCTCTCTCCCTCTTCCTCCTCCTCCATTTCTTCTTCCTCCTCCTCTTTTCATCCCTTACTCCCCCTTCTCTTGTCCTCCTCTCTTCCTCTTCTTCCTCCTCCTCCACTTCTTCCTCCTTTCATCCCTTATCCTTATCTTGTCCTCCTTTCTCCCTCTTCCTCTTCCTCCTCTTCTACCTCCTCTTTCATCCCTTCCCCCCTTATCTTGTCCTCCTCTCTTCCTCTTCTTCCTCCTCTTTTCATCCCTTCCTGCTCCATCTTCTCCTCCTCTTGTCCCCCTCTTCTTCTTCTTCCCCTCCTTCTTCCTCCTCCTCTTTTCCCCCTGCCTCTTTCCCGCGCAAAGAAAGCCTCTCCCCTCCGCTCTCGCTCTTGGCAATCCCTCTGTTTCTCTCTCTCTCTCTTCGCCCGGCGGGTCCCTCTTTCGGTGACGTGAAGGGGCGCGCGGTGGCAGCACCTCCCCGCGCGCTGCTTAAAAAGAAGAAGAAAAGAGCGAGCGAAACATGAGAGCCCGAGTGAGCTCCAGCTCCCGACGGCAACAGCAGCAGCAGCAGCAGCAGCAGCAGAGGCGGCATCCTCCAAACCGGGCTGTCCTTCTCCTCCTCCTCCTTGAATCGCAGCCTCTTTTCTATGGGACGAAGAGCCGGGCGCCTCCAGCTTCTCTTCTCCTTTCCTCCTTCCCTTCCTTGAAGCCGGAGCTTTGGACGTGGGGCTCGTGAGATACGGAGCAAGCCACTCTCTCTCTCTTTCTCCTTCAGCATCTTCCTTGGACCCTTTTTGCGCCGCTTTGGCCCACGTGCGTTTTTCCCCTCCTTATTCCGGGGCTCCCTGCTCCCTTCTTGACACACTCGTCCCCGTCCCCCCCTTTTTACATTTCCAAGGGGAAGAAGAAGAAGGAGAAGACGAAGAGCCGGTGCTTTTGGATTGCTTGCCTTGGGATTGTGGTGGTGCGAGGGAAGAGGGAGCCGTCCGAGCATGATCGGGCTGAAGATGCTCCCGCTGAAGCTGCTCCTGGTGGCCCTGCTGCTCTGCTTCTTCGAAGGCGAGGCCAAGTTTGGCGAGAGCGGGGCCCGGAAGCGGCGCTGCTTGAACGGGAGCCCCCCCAGGCGCCTCAAGAAGCGGGACCGGAGGATGATGCTCCTGGAGCCGCCTCAGCCCAGCGAGCTGCTCTGCCGGGGCCTCTACCCGCGCCTCTCCTGCTGCCCCCGGGCCCAGGGGCCCGCCAACCTCCAGAACGAGAACAACAAGGTAGGCCGCCTTCCTTGGGGTGGGATCCCGGGCAGCCAGGGCCTGCCAAGCTCACCTGAGAGGTGCAAGTCCCTATGAGGAGCGGCTTAGGGAGGAGGGGTGTGAAAGCAGACCTCAAGCTGAACGTGAGTCAACTGTGTGAACCCCCGGTGGCGCAGTGGGTCAAACCCTTGTGCCGGCAGGACTGAAGACCTACAGGTCGCAGGTTCGAATCAGTGGAGAGCGGGGGTGAGCTCCCTCTGTCAGCTCCAGCTGGGACATGAGAGAAGCCTCCCACAAGAATGGTAAAACATCAAAACATCCTGGTTAACGTCCTTGCAGACGGCCAATTCTCTCACACCAGAAGCGACTTGCAGTTTCTCAAGTTGCTCCTGGTGTGGAGTGAGATTCTAAAGTCATTCCTGACAGGACAAAAAAGTCCCCAAAAAACTCTGTGATGCAACAGCTAAAAAAGCCAATGTCAGACTAGGCTAAGATCTACATCGAGGGAAGTCAAGAGTGCCACTCCCTCTCTGCTGTTTTGGTCAGACCTCACCTGGAATCATCCTGTTTCCAGGTCTGGAGGATGAGCCCTATGAGGAGAGGCTTAGGGAGTAGGTATGTGAAAGCAGACATCCAACTGGACGTGAGTCAACGGTGTGATGCAGCAGGTAAAAATCCAATGGCATAATAGGCTAGAATCTAGGCATGGACAAACTTGGGCCCTCCAGGTGTTTTGGACTCCAACTCCCACAATTCCTAACAGCTGGTAGTATTTTTTAAAAAAAAACCTCTAAAATTAGGACAGGAAATATAGAACAACACTCAGAAAACAGGAAAATTCCAGACATGAAACAAGTAACTAAAAACAACGCTAAAAAAAACAGGGAATTCCAGACAGAAGACAATCAGGGCCAGCTAACACATCCCAAGAAAGAATCCCCCAGACAGGTAGCAGTCAGGCTTTGGACTTGCAAGGGCATTCAATGCTAATTAAGGTGATTAATTGCAACATTCAAACTTGCCTCCAACAAACAAGAGTTCTTTCTCCCACCCTGGACCTTTCCTAGGACCTCCAAGGACCAGCTGTTAGGAATTGTGGGAGTTGAAGTCCAAAACACCTGGAGGACCCAAGTTTGCACTAGAGAATGAGTCCAGTTTAAATTTGGTTGCTGCCTCCTGCAGAATTCTGGGGTTTGTGGTTTAAGGAAAATCCTTTAACAGCCTCACTAAACTACAAACCTCAAAATTCTGCAGGAGGCAGAAACCGGATTTAAAGTGGATTCATTCTCTAGTGTGATATATTAATTTCTCTTGCCTAGTTTCCAACAGACCTCTGAGGATGCCTGCCATAGATGTGGGCGAAACGTCAGGAGAGAATGCTTCTGGAACATGACAATACAGCCTGGAAAACTTGCAGCAACCCACCTGGTAGGCGGTTAGGAATGGTGAGAGTTGAAGTCCAAAAGACTTGGAGGGCTGAAGTTTGCTCATGCCTGATCTGGAGGAGGGAAGGCATAGTGCCACTCACTCTCTTCTGCTTTGGTCAGACCTCACCTGGAATCATCCTGTTTCCAATTCTGGGCACCACAAGTCAAGAAGGATATTGATAAACTGGAGCATATCCAGGGAAAGGGGACCCAAATGATCAGAGGTTTGGAAGCCAGTGGCTTAGGGAGGTGGGCATGTTTTGCTTGGAGATAATAATGCTTAAATGAAAGGACGTCCAACTATGGAAAGGGTGCTGCTCTAAGAACTAGGATTCCAACTGCAGGAAAAAGAGATTCCACCTAAGCATGAGGAAGAGCTCCTTGACGGTTGCAGCTGTTTTGACAGAGGAACATGTTGCCTGGGAGTGTGCTGGGTTCCCCTTCTCTGGAGGTGTTTAAACAAAGGTGTGAAGGGGGTTGGACTGGATGGCCCTTGCAGTCTATTCCACATCTAGGATTCTGATTCTAAGGTGGGATGGAGATCGGGGCCAGACTGTCTCCTCTTCGGGTTGCTGTGAGTTTTCTGGGCTGTATGGCTATGGGTTGTTGTAGGTTTTTCGGACTGTATGGCTATGTTCTAGAAGCATTCTCTCCTGACGTTTCGCCTGCATCTGTAGCAAGCATCCTGAAGGAAGCTCACAACCTCTGAGGATGCTTGCCACAGATGCAGGTGAAACGTCAGGAGAATGCTTCTAGAACATAGCCATAAAGCCCGAAAAACCTACAACAACCCAGTGATTCCGGCCATGAAAGCCTTCGACAATACATTGTATGGCCATGTTACAGAAGCATTCTCTCCTGACGTTTCACCCACATCTATGGCAGGCATCTTCAGAAGTTGAGGGGTTTGTTGGGAACTAGGCAAGTAGGGTTTATATATCTGTGGAATGTCCAGGGTGGGAGAAAGAACTCTTGTCTCTTGGAGGCAACTGTGATTGTTGCAATTGGCCACCTTGATTAGCATTGAGAAGCCTTGCAGCTTCAAGGCTTGGCTGCTTCCTGCCTGGGGGAATCTTCTGTTCTGAGCTCTTGGAAAAGTTCATGAAGCGAGGTGAGAGATCCCACAGACTGGGGATGTATCTACAATAGGCACGGGCAAATTTTGGCCCTTCGGGTGTTTTGGATTTCAACTCCCACAATTCCTAATAGACGATAGGATCTACACTGGTAGACTGAATGCAGCTGGATATGCCCTGGCTCAATGCAATGTTGGAGGCTCCTTCTTTGGAGGCTTTTAAGCAGAGGCTGGGTGACCATCTGTCGGGGGTGCTTTGAATGCGATTTCCCTGCTTCTTGGCAGGGGGTTGGACTGGGTGGCCCACGAGGTCTCTTCCAACTCTATGGTTCTGTGATTCTATGGGATCCTGTGAGCTGCACTTGGGTGAGGCACCAGCACTCTTTGGCAGAGAAAGCTAAAGACGTTGAACCAGGGCAGTTCAAGTGGTGTCAAAGCTGCATTCCTTCTGTATTGTAAATGTAACCGAGGAAGAAGGCATCTGATATCCGTGGGCTGCGCTCTCTCAGATTGGTCAGGAGCGGAATTTGGGGGGAAACCTCCGTCAGGTTACAAGGATCACATAGCTTATGCCTGGGGATGCTGGAAGTTGTAGCCAAAGCCGTAAGCCTTCCCAAGCAGTGAGTGGTCAGAGGCATGAAGGGATGGAGTGGAGCGGGCGAGGGTGCAGAAACAAGGGAGCGTTTTGGACTGAACTGGACCCATTTCTGTTGGCAAAGCAATCCCTAAATCTTTGAGGATGGGACTTACTCGGACTCCTTAAACAAGGGGGCCGAAACAGAGTGCAGGGAGTTACTTTTTTAGGCTGCAATCCCCAGAAATCCCCAGTTTTTACGGGGGATGCTTGGATTTCTAATTCCAAAAATGACTTTTCTACGCTCTGTCCCAACAGACTTTCCTGGCAGCCAGCCTCATTGGAGGTTCCTACTTCTACATAAACCCATAGATTGATGTTGGCTCGTGTCTCTCTGCTTGGAGAGAGGGCGCCTTTGTCAGCACCTGATCTTAGGTGCACCTATGTACACCAGCGTTTTTCTCCTAGCATTGAGACATGGACATCAATGTGGTGTCAAATTGCATTAATTTTGTTGTCGAAGGCTCTCATGGCCGGAATCGCTGGGTTGCTGTGAGTTTTCCGGGCTGTCTGGCCGTGTTCCAGAAGCATTCTCGCCTGACGTTTCGCCCACATCTTTGGCAGGCATCCTTAGAGGTTGTGAGTATGCCTGCCATAGATGTGGGCGAAACTACCTCTAAGGATGCCTGCCAAAGATGGGGGCGAAACGTCAGGAGAGAATGCTTCTGGAACATGGCCATACAGCCCGGAAAACTCACAGGATACCTACCATAGGAGAGAATGCTTCTGGAACATGGCCCATACAGCCCGGAAAACTCACAGGATATCTACCAAAAATGTGGGAGAAACGTCAGGAGAGAATACTTCTGGAGCATCGCCATACAGTCCGGAAAATTCACAGGATACCTACCATAGATGTGGGCAAAACCTCAGGAGAAAATGCTTCTGGAATATGGCCATACAGCCCGGAAAACTCACAGGATGCCTGCCATAGATGTGGGCGAAACTTCAGGAGAGAATGCTTCTGGAACATGGCCATACAGCCCGGAAAACTCACAGCAACCCACTGCATTAATTTTGTAATGTAGACGCATCCGAGACGAACCTGAATCCATCCCAAGGGCACTAAGCTGGGGAAGGGCCGCTTTTAAATGTCTACTAGCTGTTGGAATCATTAACATAACCCTTCCTCCGAGTTTACATAGGGAGGAGCCTTTAACAGCCTCCCCAAACTACAAACCCCAGAATTCTGCAGGAGGCAGGAACCGGATTTAAAGTGGATTTATTCTCTAGTGTGATAAGGTGGGAGAGAGGGATAGGGGTGCTATGTATGAGAAAAGGGAAGCATGAACCAGCCTATTGTCTGAGGGTCCCATCTAGAAGAGATGGAGGTCCCCCAGGAAGAAGCAGGTTGAATGCCCCCCCCCCCCCAGGCTGGCTCAGGGAGGGGAAGAAGGTGCTGCCAATCAAGGCTGGAGGCTCGGGCTCTGTCATCCTGGCATCCCTGGAGCTGTCAATTAAGGTGGCGGTGGTTTCCCGTTTATTTTTCCGGGGGTAGAAAAGTGTGTACCATTCCCTCCGCATGTTTGGTCAGGAAACTCCGGGCAGCAGATGGTGAAAGCAGAGGATGCCAGGAGATGGCCAACTTTTTACGAGCTCTTCCCCCGATTAAGCCGGTCCTGGAGAGAAAGGATAGGAGGGAAGGGCAGGGACAGAAGGAGGGAAGGAAGGAGGGAGGGAGGGAGGAGGAAAGGAGATTGCACGAAGCTAGTCCACTCCAAATTGCGGAGGATGAATCCATTCGGTTTCATTGCCACTGATTTTTCCCAAAGACAAAGATCGAATGCAGGCATGGGCAAACTTTCAAACTTGGGGGTTGCCAGGTTCTCCCCAAGTCCCATCTCTGCCCTTTCCTCCCCTCCCTCTTTTTTGAAGCAATGAA